ACGTCAAGTGTCAGCGCGCTGTCACCCAGCTTACGAGAGCGACTACCAGAGGCAGGCAGACAGATGACGTGCAGGCACGCGTGACTGCCCTTCAGACACTTACATGCGGAGGCTGGGCATAGGCGCCATTGGGAGGCTGCTGGGCCGTGGGCGGTTGCCAGTGGGCGGGAAGCTGGCCTTGGCCACCCTGGTGAGGGAACATGGTGTCGCGCGGCGGTGGTCGTGTGCGGTGCTGGCACGGCGGGGGCTCTCCCAGTGCGACACAGCGGTTGGGCGGGCAGCAGCGCAGGTGCAAGAGAGACGTCGGGCAAGAGAAGGTCGGTGGTGGTGCGGGAGATCCTCTGGGGCGGGTGAGGTGTCACAAAATACTGGCAGGCGGGCCGCAACGTCGGCTGCAGGTGAGAGCGACGGGCAGTGCTGCGTGGGCGAGCCAAGCCAGTCGGGGCGGAGGGAGGAGGGGAGGGTGTAGGGCGGCGCTTCGAGACGGGCGTGCAGGCGGCGTGTAGGCGGGTGTGGTCTGCACGAGGAGCGTTGGAGAGAAGGGCAGAGTTGGGCGAGGGAGGCTGTGGAGTGAAAGGCTTCTCGAAGCGCGTGGAGGAGACGACGGGACCCAAGAGCGTGGAAGCGAAAAAGGAGATTCAGGTTGGAGCGGCCGCTATTACTACCCACCGCGTGCCCGAACTCAACCTTCTCGCCGCTTCTACTGGCATGGCGTTTTTATCCCTGCCCGCCCCATGCAGCGACGACGGCGACGGTCCGCCAAACGCGCTAAATGCCATGCGGCATCCTCACTTGCAGCGCGACGTGCAGCTGGGCAGCCCACCCATCCGCGCACACGAGCTACCGGCGAGCAGCACGCTGAGTGCGAGCCGCCCCTACCACGTCGTCGCTGCCGCCAACTGTCTGGCCTGTGTATTGCGACCGCGCCCATGACACGCCCATGACGCCGCCCATGGCCGTCAAAGCTGACCCAACCTTGTCGGCCACCCATGTGCATGATGCTGCTGCGGGCCGGCAGCTTGCTTGAGATGTGTGACTCGCCAAGCCCTCGGGGACTCCCGTCGCGCTGTGATCTACGAGCCTTTAATTACATACACACGCCGCCGCAGCAAATACTACAAAGCCCACGGCCGGCCAGTCTGCCCTGCACGCCGCGCCCTGCCTGCACCGCGCTTGCTCCAGAGCCCTCCCGCTGCTGCTGCTGCACTGCGCGTGCGTCTACCGTGGCACAGTCGCTAAAGACTCATGGAACCACCTCGGGCTCTTGAATCGTCTACGGCCCGTCTCTGCGTCCCTCGTGTCGCTTCCTCCGCCAAGCCCATAGCTCGCGCATTCGACAGCTCACGAACCACGGTACGCGCCTGCGTCCGGTCAGCTTTGGTCCTACCCTCCGCGACTGGCCCCGGCCGCCTGCTGCAATATGCTTTTTGTACACATGCATCGTGACGCTGCCTCGTCCTCCCCAGAACTGCTTCTCCGACGTGTCGACTGCAAGTGGCCGCCTGCAGCACCACCCGCGCACCTCCCTGCCCTAACCTCGAGTTCCCGCCTGCCGTCTGCTTCATTTGCGCACATGTCTGATAGGGCTGATCCATTCGGGGCGTCGGTCATTTTCCTTGACAAGGACGGCAGCATCCCTGTCCGACTGTTGGTGTGTAACACTTCGGCAACTACGTCTGCTTGGACAACTGTGACGTGAGTGCCCTCTGTTCGCTAGTCATGGCCCTGCCGGTGCGTCTCGGCGACTTCAGGCACTCTCCTTCGCGGGGCAGTGTCTACGGGAGAGCCGATGTCTTGCGCCGGGAGAACCGTTCGTTGAGCGCAGCAGCACCCATTTTTCGCCTTCACGCGCAAGCTGCTTGGTCATAGAGCCGATTCTGGCCAGTCCTGCCTGCGAAGAAACCATCCGACATCGTCTCTCTCAGCTGCTATTGCTTCGTGTAAGACGGCCGGCATGCGACGCAGCCCACTTTCGTCCTCGAATCACGCCTCTGAATCTGACATCCACAATTTGGCAAACCGTTCATCCCTTGCGCCGGCGAAGGCTTGCGAACTGGTGCCCATGGCAAAACACTTCCTCGCGCTGCTGATTCGACGCCTCCACAATAGTCGAGACAAACCGATACAAAGAATTCGACGGCACTTGTGCCTATTTTTTGGTAGTGGCGGTGCCGCAAGTCCCGCTGGTGACGAATCTCGGACTTGTGCGGATGTAGGCACGGTGGCATGGAGAATCGCGAAACGCCCAGGGCGCTTTCAGCCTCGGCTCCTCGCCGGCCTATTTTCACCTGACTGCATATACGTGACGACGCCCACACCTGGAACAAAGAATAGTCAGCAGTAGTTCATTGCTATCCATGCTTGCCTAAGCACCTCGTCCTGTGTCTCTTGCCTCGAGATTAGGGCGGACGGCCCGCACTCTCTCAAGCTTAGTTTTCCACCGTCCAGGTCTCGGTCAAATTTAATCGACCAATCAGCACGTCCCTTGCCTAGCATTCAACTTACTTGGGCAAATCTCAGCATTCCAGCTGGCATGTGCCTTGCTGCTGCTGCTCGACGGGTAAATCCTATCGAGCACGACAAAAAACCTTGCTGCTGTCACAAGACGTGTCTACCGGTCAAAGCCGTCGTCCCGGCCACAGTGCCGTTTTCACTCATTGGCACCGTATTCAGCGGGATGACCGCTTGCAGCCAATCGCTTTTAATAATTGTTGTAATTTGATTGACTGCCACACCGTATTTCGCCCTTTCGAGTCAGTCACGAGCGCGTGATAGATGAGGCCCAATGCAGTCATTTGTCTGCGACTATATTCGTCTGAAACCATCAGTCCAAGGAGCGTCATCCTTGACTTGGCCGACAATCAAGGACAGCAGCCTTGTGTTGCACATTGAAAAAGTGCCGTTGAATGCCGCTGATGACGGTTACACCAAGTGAGCGGATTGTGGGGTAGATCAACCAGGATCTGTTCTGGACGTGATCTTCAGCCGCCTCGGTCGATTCACCCAAGCAAATAGCCGCGCAACGTCCATCACCACTGCAGTGCAGACGGTAAGCGATGCTCAGCCATGGTGGTGGCCATGGAGATTGCGACGCCGCGCGTGGACAGTGGGAGCTGGCTCAATTGGAACCAGGTGTATTCGCGGCTCGGGACGAGATGTGGAATTCCCGCGTGTGTCCCGTTGATAATTAGATTAACGAAGTTTGTGTCACCGAAGCCTTCCCGCAATATGCATAGCATAGCTGGAGATTGTGGAGTCTACCCATTCGTGTCACCGTAAGCAGCGCAAAAGGGCCATGTCGCTTGTGCCGCATTTTGTGTACCGCCAATCTGCAGGTAAAACCAGATTCAGATATATCAGGCGGGAAGATATCGTCAAGCCTCCGAGACGATGCCTCGCCCGTGGCACCGTTCTAGTGTCTGACAGGCATAAAGAACGCGGGCAATGCTTCCACAGCGCGTCCGTGGCCAGTGCAAAACAAACAACCTCACCGATCTGTCAAGGTGTGCTGGTGCGATAGAGGCGTGGTCAGTCTGGTGATGGCGTTGCATCGGTGTACACGCATTCCTTTGCATCCTGATAATACTTTTGATGCGCCGCAGTACCGCATGTTGCTGATGCTCCAACAAACGAGTTTCCGTCCTTGCAGTAGTGGTGTGAGGGACGACATCCTGTCGGATAAGCGGAATCCCATCTCCGTTCTCTACCCCAGCGCTCGTCCGCCTCATCTCGGGCAGACGACGGTGTATGCTCGCCTTACCGAGCCCGGCGGAAGGCCGAGAAGGGCAAGGCGACACGTTTTGGCTTTGCGAGATCCAGCTGTGTCACAAACGCCGGTAAATATCATCTAGAGACGCGGAAGGGGTGGATAAGCGGACGCAAGCCATTGCGGGTCGATGGATCAGCCCGAAGCGTGCTAATTCGCGGAAGAAAGAAATATCTGCAGCTCATCGGTGTGATGGACGGTGGGATTCAATAGACACAACGAGTTGCCTTATAACCACACCGCCTTTTGAAGGCATTCTGAAGCTCCTCAAAGCCTCGTTATTCAACTGGAATGCACTGTGCAATGCAAAATCGCGCCGTAGAAGAACCACAGCTCGCATTGAGATTCTGAAGGTTTGGCGTTGGAGCTGCTGGCGTCATGCTTACACCACGTCAAGCGCAGCCCAACAGCGTAAGCCGCTCAACTTTCCGCTTCTTATGAGTGCATGACGCTGAGCGATGCAGCAACTAACCGCCAGCTACTCACGGCGCCGGTAAAGGTTCGCTGAAGCCTTCGTCATGAGATGCAGCTGGCCTCGATCAGACGCGTTAGGGCGTAAACCCATGCATCCCAGACGGACAACGAGTGCGCCCCGAGCCGTAGCCGTGTATAGACTAACGCAACGTGTGCAGCATGTCACTGTGCCAAAATGGATAGTGGGGAGGCCAGCTGATCGGGGCCTGGCGATTATATGAAGCGATCGCTGCACGCCCTGGCAAGTCCTCTGCTGCAATGTCATGGCGAGAATCTGGCGTCGATGCGGTCAGCCATCTACACTGCATCGTGATCGAAGAGAGGGAGAGTGAGCACTGTGCACTGCCTCCCATCGTTCGTTTAGCCAGGGAAAAGCCGCTAAGAAAGACGGCAGGCCCGCGTCTGAGCGTAGCTTTAAGAGGGGGCCAGGGTACGAGGAAGCTAGATCCGAAATGAACAAGGCCCATCATAAGACCGAGGATACTGCATTTGGCATAAGTGCTCCCGTGACCTACTAGCGCTGCATGTTGATCCCAGTTATCCGCTCGTGCTGGAGCTAATGCTGCACGATGACTTAGTCTGTTGCATGGCATCGGTTGTGTCAACCAGTCAGCGCCACCGTGGCAGGGTTACACCAGCGTCTATTGGCGGTCTTTGCGCTTGCGTGGCCCACTCCTCCACGCTCCCACCAATGTGTGCATCTAAATGACTTCGGCTCGAAGCACCGTGCCTCGAACATGCGTTGTTGAAATTGCTCTCATCAAGCCTCGTCATCCTCTGCGGCGTTGCTGTCATCGTCGGGCTCGGCATCGCTTCCTTCGTCCTCGCTCGAGTCTGACGTGTCGTCGTCGGGCATCGCGATGCTGTTCAGATAGGTGATCTGCCACGGTTGTTAGCGGCCTTGTGTGCAACGCCTCCCGGGAGATTGCTGTGGTCGTCCTTCACACCTGAAGGATTTTACGATGGGCGGGTGACTGCATTGCCAACGCACTACTGGCCGGCACTATAGTCACCCCATCGCTTGCACCGTACAGGCACTTCCCTAACAACTTGCCGCCGCTCTTATCTTTTCTTGTCCAATGGGAACGTGAGGCCGTTTATGTCAAGAGTATGGAAGGATAGACTTACAAAGGGTACCAGACTGGCAATGAGTTCACCCACTCGCTCCAAGCCCCCAGAACCAACAATTTCATCGTCTGCGAGCTTCCGCCCCATGGTGTAGTTGCGGAGCCGCATAAGTTCGATGTCTTTGTGGTCATGGTCATATCCCTGGAGAGGTGTCAGCAAACATGAACAGCTGCAGTGAGTTTGAAGTTTGAAGTTTGTTCATCATAATCCCCGCGACTGGGCTTTGACAGACTGCTGCGAGCAGAGAACCCCGCCTACTCAAAGGGTGCTAGCCATGACAACTCCAACTCAGCTCAACTTGTTGAGTGCGGGGCGACTTGAAACTCTATTTGCCGGACGGCACACAGTTGTAACGCACAACCTTCCAGTACGAGACTGAAGCTAATTGCACGTCATCGTGATCGTGTGCCGTTCGCGAGATGGTGTAGCGGAAGAGTTTCATGGAGATACATCCTTGTAGGCGGGGAGCTTCCGTGCTAGTTTTGGTGTTGAACCGTGTCAGGCGGCGGACAGTACCCGATCGCGGCAAAGCCGTTACCAGACCTTGCAAAAATCGACTCTGCTTGTGAGAGAACGTCGTGAACACGGTGTTTCACAAGCATATTTCATGCTTAATGACACGAGAGCTGTCTGCTGATACCCTGCTGTCTCAAGGGATGGATTGAACAGATGCTGCATACCTTTGGGTTGCGTTTCAGAGCATTCGACTGATTCATCGACAGGCTCGTGAAGGCTTTCACAGCCTTTTTCTCGTCATCTTTGACTCCACCCAGGAAAGCCTCTCGAATACCAGAGTCCGTTAGTACGGCCTTGATCTTGTGCGGTTTGCGATCAATGTCGCGTCGTAGTTTGGCCAGAGTCGACGCGTCAGGCTGCCAGAAGCCACCACCTTTCAAAGTCAGCGCATTCTCGTGTAAGAAAGGATATCAATGAGTCATTGACGCGCCGCTGACTATGGTGCCGCTTGCGTAGGCAGAATGGATACACACTGACGTGCATCAGATGAGTGTACCATCCCGACGACACCTCGCTGCACGCTGCCAAACCCTTAAACGGTTCGATACGTTACGTCCCGGATACCGCGCGGTACAACCGAGAAGACGAGATGTTACCCTACGCTGTCCGACGAGGCATAGGCACATGGGTCCAATTGTGTGGCATGGTGACGGTCAATATTCCCCGCATGGCCATAACGTGCAGCGCTGGTCGGATCTGTCAATCTCACCGCATGGCGATGCATTGTCGTCTCCGAGCCGGCAGTCGTATAATGCGACACATGGTCAGGAGTGCAAGGTCGACCACACGACAAGAGTCGCTGTAGAGCCGAGGCTCGCAGCAGCTGTCGTGGTGACGAGCATTGGGTACACTTGCATACTCCATGCACATGGAGTCGAAAGAAGCAATGCGGTGGCCACGAGGTCACTTCACACTGCGCTTGAGTTCCACGACAGCTCGCGGCTCGGGTGTCTCCGCGAAGACGAAGAGAGGAGAATCGAACATACCTACGAAGCTACCACCATTGGGTTGCACCTGGAAGTAGTAGTGTGCGTAAGGTCCCTTGCGTCCCTGCACGTCGTATACAATGTCAGTGTGGGGCTCACATAAGCTTGTACCCATGTGTGACTTACAGTTCTTGACCAGGCCGCAGAAAAGTAAGTCTAAATCAGGTCAGCCTGCTTTGCATGTAGCCATGAAAGGGCGTCATGCTGAAGCTATTCGTCGGGTCGCAGAGTATATGCCATGGCGCCATGATGATTTGGCAGCATGCTGTGTCTCTCGACTTCGTGACACGGCTTCAAGGGCATGACCCCATCCTAGCGTGGAAGGTCGATGTATTCACTCACCTTGTACGGGGTTGGGTCTTTCGAGAACCGAATGTCTTTCTACTGTGAGCATAATCCAGCTAAGACCATACTTCGGGCTCACCTCTGTAAATCCGGTAGATCTACACGTTTTAGTAAATCGTACTGCGACAATCCAATCGGAAACACTTACTACATCTTTGACAGGCAACTCTGGGATGGTCTCATCTGCCTCGATGATCTTCTCGGATACCTTCTCCGCAAAAGTGGTAAAATCTTGGAATGAAACCCTAAAGTCAGGGTCATGGACTACGACATAGACGTCAGCTAGCGGTCCGATCGTGCCGTTTGACATGAAACGTAGTAAACCATCACTCACGCTTCAGCCATTGGCGGTCGTTGTTAGCTGTCAAGTCCTTAAGGAACAGCATAGTATTTGGGTGGATTGTGTGATCCAAGTACGGCGTGTCGCCTGCATCTCGAGCCTTTGGTTTCTTGATGATCAGTTGTGTTCCTGGTGCGAGCTTCGCACCGGGTTTCCATAGCTCTTTCTCGTTAGCAGCCTTCTTGTGTATGGCAAGGCTCTTGGTTCCGCGCCCTCTGGGAGCTGCTCGCTTGTCCTCAGGTTCGTCGTCACTGGCGGTTTCATCGTGCTCGGATTCCGACGATGGATCCTTGTCGCTATGTTCCTCGTAGTCAGATGCTACAACGTCATCCTCGTCATCGTCGGGTGCGACGTCTGCCTTGGGTTTGTTCCCGTCGCTATCCGTGTCGCTCTCAGGTTCGACGTAAGACTTCCTTGCGGTAGCCCGTGCTCTCTTAGACTGCCGTGCTGGAACCTCCGGTGCAGGACGTTTAGAATTGCTCCTGGGGGCTGGAGCACTTGCGCTTTTAGTGGCTTTACGTGGCATGATTTCGAGTGATGCGATTTGAGAAAGTGATAGGCGTGATACTCAGTTGTCATTGCAGGTGCCTTCGTGGCTGCTTGAAAGATGACGCGCGCACAGACCATCGATGACGCACTCGAACGCGAAAATACAGCGCGCTGTCACGTTTCCACCCCAGCCAGGAAGCACGCCCGACTGACATGCCGACACGCTTCGAAGCTCGCAAGCAAAAGATCTTGGAGCAACTCGACGCTCCAGATGGCGAGTATCATGATCTGTCGCCCAAGGGATCCGTCGATGCGCCCATCCGAGATTTAATCGGCGAGATCAACAGTCTCCCAGGACTAGTCACTACTAGCAGCTGCTCGGGGCGCATCAGTGTATTTTTGGAAGGACGCAAAGCAGACAATGAAGTACCAGATGCATTGCCTGAAGGCGAGAGTTCACGCGCTGGACCAGGAGGAAAAGGTGGTGGGGGTGCATGGCTGTTCATCTCACACACGCCACTTGGGCGAGACGAAGCAACAGGTGACCTCATGTCAAAGTTTGGCTTAGACAAGGTTGAAGCGACGGAGGAAACACCTAGCGTGTCCAGCAGGTACATTCATCTTAAATTTGAACCTATGGTATCTTCAGTCGTCATAGCACGTTGACATGGTCTGACGCGGCACAGATACTCCACGTCCTGAGTGCATCCATGGATCATGCCCAAGGTGTCCTCACTGCTGCCTTAGCTGCCGGATTCCGTGAGAGTGGCGCCGTGAGTCTAGGGTCAGCGAAGACAGCAGAGTCGAACCCCATCGTGGCTGTCCGGTCAGCTGGTTATTCATTCGACTCCATCATTGGGTATCGAGATGGTGATGGCCGCAATGTTGCCTTGGTAGACGAGCGATATCTACGAACACTAGTAAACATCGCAAACGAGCGATTCAACGTCAACTTCGATCGCATAAGCCGGTTTCGCAAGGCCCTCTTGGAGACGTACGAAGCGACTGCGACAAGTGGATCCAAGCCAGATTGGGAAGATGCGGACGCGAGGAAACGACGGAAAAGAGAAGAAGGCCTTGCGCGGCAACAAGCTCTGCAAACCCAAGTCTCTCGAGAAGAGAATAATTCATCAGCACCGGAGAACACAGACAGCATGGAAGGGATATCCTCCTAATGGTACATGGCACAACACAGACACATGCGCATCAACGAGAATGCCTGTGTTGAACACAACGAAAGTTGTACTCTGTCGTAGACGGATATGAGTCATATTCTGTCTATCGCGACGGCGAATTTGAGTTCACGATGAGTAGTTGCTTCTCTATACTTTGCGGAGCCACACGAAAATGTCTCCGACGACTAGTCTTCATAGCTCAGATGTAGAATGAGCAACGTTCGGCCGGTTGCATCCAACGACTCATCGAATTAGCACATGTGTACACAAAACTCTGGAGTCGTACTTCTTTCTTTGCATGCTGTGATATCCGGTAACATAGTGCCATATACTGCGTGTTTCCCAATCCATTTCGGTGATGCTCCACCAATAGAGGCTTAGCGTACTTATGTCTCCGACGTAGATCGGCGACTTTGCTTCCATCTTCACAGCTATCTTCAACATACAAAAGGAACATTGGATCTGCTCCAAATTTTCCAGTTACTACCTCTCACACCTTCCAAGCATTCTACATACCCATTGAGACTACATTACCACTCTCAAAATACCAAAACTACCCCTCACCCCAACCCACCATCCAACATGAGCTACGCAGAAGCCAATCGGCGATACTTCGAGTACGTCACAAGCTTTTTCAACTCCCAAAATTAAATCATACTAATACACCACAGTGCCATATCCGACTCCTACGACAGTAAACCGTGGTTCAAAGTCGTCAACGACCGAGTAGCCACCACCCTCCGCTCCGACCTCTCATGGGTCGGCATCCCCTTCACAGATTCCACCACTCAACCAGTCCGCCTCCTAGACTACGCATGCGGTACCGGCCTCATGACCCGCGTCTTTGGACCCTACGTTACGTCCACCCAAGGCATCGACATATCGCCCAACATGGTGTCCACATACAACTCACGCGCACGCGACGCCGGGCTCTCCGAAGATGTAGTCAATGCCATCGTAGGCGACCTTTTCGACAAGTCTGACCCTAATCCCGAGTCGCTTTCCGGGGACAGGTTTTGGAACTTCGACATCGCGACTGTGGGGTTTGGATTCCATCATTTCGAGGATGTGGTGTTTGCGGCACGGCAGTTGAAGGAGAGGTTGAGGCCGGGCGGTGTGTTGGTTATTAATGATTTTCTGGAGGGAGGTGATCTTTTGGCGGGGGAGGATGGGAGTATGATTGAGGGGAGCGAGGGAAATCATGCTGTTCATAGTCATGGACATCATCATGGTCATGGGGAAGGGAAGGGTTCTGGATCTCATGGACATGGACATGGGCATCACCACGGGCATCATCACCACCATGATGCTGAGAAGAAGCATGATGTTGGCGAGAGTAACCCTCAGTTCCGGCAGAAGATGAATGCCTCGATAGTGGTTCCGCACTTTACTATCGATGGCGTAAAGCAGTTCTTCGCGGAAGCTGGGTTCGTGGACGTGGATGTCATTACGATGAAAGAGAAGAACTACATGGAGTTCGGTGGCAAGAAGCTGTGGCGCACGATCCTGTTTGCTAGAGGACGCAGGCCGATGGAAGGACAAGATGGCTCGGGAAAGAGCGAACTATGAGCTTATCCAAGAAGGCGAAGCCCGGTGGTCACGGGCCGGCGATACAGTGTAGTTGACATCGTGAGCAAGATCAGCAACAGATAGATTGTATATATGGGATATCAGCAACCAACAAAATATAACACCCAACACCAGACCAAGTGCCCTTATATCCAAGAAAATACCAGTTTACCACTTCCCCTCCAAAGGCAGATCTCGGCTTGAGAAGCCCACACTAATACCAAACTCGCCGTTAGGCAGCACCCAATTCTGCCTCTTAACATCCCAATAACTCAAATCCCTTCTTGTGACATCAAACTGCACCAGCTTACCTGCATTCTTCTCGAGGTGAATCTTCTCGAAGCCGCGCAGCACGCGAACGGGGAAGTCGACGGGCTCACCAGTCTCATGGTCCTTGTAGTTTTGCGGGAAAGAAATGTAGAGCTGCACTACTGATGCGCCGTCGACGGGTCCGGCGTTTTCCAGTGACGCCGATACAGTCAGGAGCGTGGTGTATAGATCGGGGTTGCCGCCTGGGCCACCGCCTGCTTGGCTAAGAGGAGATGGTGGAGCGGGGGTCGCAGGGTCAGATTTCTTGATGCCCTTTACGGAATCTAGCCACGGGTAGATGAATCGCTCGATTTGGTTGAAGCCCTCAGGGAACAGTACAGATTTGGGATCTGGTAGGTCGGTAGAATAGCTTGGTGGAGTCAGGCCGTCGGGTCGGGGCTTGGGAAGAGGTGTTTTAGCGGCCTTTTCTTCGATGAGCAGAGAGGACAGCTTGAAATCCGTGTACGAAAGACCGTAGCCGAACTCGAATCGTGGGGCGATGTCCTTCTTGTCGAAGTGGCGGTAGTCAATGTAAAGACCTTCGGAGAAGTCCTGTTGGGGCGCCAGACCATCCTTTGGAGTGGGAAGATACTTGATCTTACTGCCTGGGCCGTAGTCGTCTTCCTTCTTGGCGATTGTGTAAGGTAGACGTCCAGATGGGTTGACGTCACCGAAGAGTACGTCTACGATGGCGTTACCAGATTCAGTGCCGGGAAGATTGGCGATGATGACGGCTCTGACATTCATGATGTCGATGAAATTCTCCAGGATTACAGGTCCAACAGTGTGGATGACAACCACGACATCGCCCATGCCTTCTCCGCAATCTTTAGCAACATCCTGAATCAGCTTGTCGCCGCCCTTTTGCAGATTAAGGTCATTCCTGTCACCACGAATGCCTTCATAGTGCTGGTAGCCCTCTCCGGCGTCGGCGTTGGCGAAGACAATGCAGAGGTCCTGATCAACGAGAATCTCCTTCTGGCTAGGCAGCTTATTTTCTAGCCAATCGGTGACGTAAACAGTCTCGTTGTCGAACGCGTCTCGAATAGCGGACATGGGCTCCACTAGATACGAGAAGTTGACCGCGCCAGAACCCCACCCTGAGGCCAATGTACCTTCGTTGCAGCTCTGATCAGGGCAGTGGTTGATTCCCTCATGAGGGAGACGTGCATCTTCACCAAAGACACCAACACGGAACTTTGTCTTGGCCTTGCCGCCAGTCTTCCAGCCCTTTCGGTCCAGAGGCAGCATCTTGCCCTCGTTCTTCACCAGGACGGTACCTTCGGCTGCGACGCGACGTACTAGGTGTCCATGTGCTTCTTTCCCTTCTCCTTGTGCGTTGACATACTGATTTACGATGCCTGTTTCGTGGTCCGATGGGCTGCCCTCGTGAAGCTTGCCAACCCTGTCGTTGGTCCACGAAGAGAAGTTTGGTCCGTCATTTTCCCACTTGTCCTGGCCAACCTGATACCAAGATGCCACAATACGAGTAACCATGTCGTCGACACGATCGATGGGCACGCTTCCATTGAGAACCGCACGGGTGAGCTCAGGGCCCCATAAGCTGTTGCCCTTGGCCCATCTCAAGCCATCTCCAGGCATGGTCATGTCCAAGCCCGCAAGAGCACTAGCCACGCCTGAACGCTGTGCTAACCAGTCACTCTGAATGAAACCCTGGAAGCCGAGCTCATCCTTCAGGACACCGTTGAGCAGCTTGGAGTTTTGGCAGGCATAGCTTGAATTGACCTGGTTGTACGAACACATGACGCTGGTCACTCCAGCTTTGACGGAGTCGGCGAAGGGCCATGCGTAGATCTCGTGTAGTGTGCGGTCGTCGATGTTGCTCGATATCGCGTTCGGAAGGCCCCACTCCCATGCTTGTCTGAAGTGCTCTTGTTCGTTGGCCACATAGTGCTTTGCCGTAGCCATGACGCCCTCGTCCTGAATGCCCTTGATGGTTTGGGCAGCTGCAATGCCCTGGAGAACGGGATCTGAACCGAAACCCTCCCAGACGCGACCACCAGCTGGCATTCTCCCGAGAGGACCCATGGCAGGACCCAGCAGGACGTTGACGCCCTTGAGGCGTGCTTCTTGGCCGTGGGCCTTTCCGCGTAGGTACATGAGTTCCTTGGACCAGGTCGCGCCGGTGGTGATACCGGCAGGGAATGCGGTGATGTTGTCGGCGAATCGAATACCCAGTGGGCCGTCCTGAAAACATTAGTCTAGTCCTGGAGACATGCGGAGTGTACGTACCTGTAGACACAAGCTGGGAAACTTCAGCCTGTCTACACGCCCAGTCTGGCCGACGCAGAGATCCATGCTCCAGCCTGTGCCTGTTGTGATGTTGACCTTCTCCGGCAGCGTCATCTGCTTGACCAGGTCCGCAGCCCTCTTGTAGCTGTCCTCCCACGCCTGGTCGGTGCCACCCTTTGGCGAGGGGTACCACGGCGGACTCAGCCCATCCTCAGGCACCGAGACCTTGTATGCCCATATGCCACCCGAGGCGAGTATCAAGACGGTGGCGGCGACGAAGACTAGCAGCCAGCAGCAGCACCGTCCGGGCGCACACCGCGACTTCCTTTGCTGTACGGGGAATGGGGCCGCGTCCTCGGTGTCTCTGTAGGACGCCTTCCGGACCTTGAGATCGCCGGCGCTCTTCTTGCGCCTGATCTTGCTGTCGAATGCGAGTGGGTCGTGTTCCTCGAGATCTTCTAGCGTCCCGTTGGATTCGGAGGAGAAGCGCGTCGGGGTCTCGACATCGTCGTCGACGGGGTTGTCGAGCTTGGCGTACTTGCCACGGCGCATTTCGTGGGCTTCGTAGGGCGGCATTTGGGTCGGAGCCGGGGCCTGCTTTAAAGGAAGAGGTGGGCGTTGTTGTGTCGTTGGCGGCGCAAACGGCTAGGCTATCGATGACGGCGCGAGCGTGAAGCCCTATGATGTTGAGGCTAGCATTGAATGCAATAATCCGGCAATCACGAGGGAGTGATGGATCGAGTAACGAGTATGCTTAGAGTGTTTCCGTAGGACAGAAGACGCGGCGTACACAGCGAGCGTCGTGGTTCAAGGCGAATGTTTCACCGGGCTGGCCTGCGCGCGATGGCGTCTCGTCCCTGACTAGGTGCCGATCTCGTGGGTCGACTCCCGCCCGCGCTTGCGTCCAGGCGGGCCTTCTGATTGCGCATCATCCACCCTTCACCAAACCACGCTGACATTGTTTGCACACATGTTTGAATTCATGGCTACATTTCCCAACCATTTGGTTCGTCATTTCTAACTTCACATCCTCTCCAACAAGCCTATGACCTTCCACGCTTATGCGCCGACCTGGTCCAGTATGCCCTGCAGGTTGATCGACTTGGGCCGCTCGATGGGAAGGCCCAGTGCCCTGTCCCAAATCAGCTGTGCGAGCGGGCCCAGACCACGGCTGACACCGAAGGTCGCTGTGTAGTAGAGCGTCTCCTTGAAGCCGAAGTGGTGGAAGAGAACACCGGACGACGAGTCGACGTTCGGGAAGGGGTTCTTGGTCTACAAAACAAGTTAGCAGTGGCTCGACTTGTCGGATCGTCAGCAGCTTACCTTTCCGTGCTCCTTGAGGACATCCGGCGCAACCTCAGAGTTCTTCTTGACCAGCTGGTAAACAGGGTCTGCCGCAATCTCGGGTCGTGCGTTGGCAAAGTCCATGAGAGCTTCGAATCGCGGGTCGGGCTTCCTGAGCACGGCGTGTCCGTAACCAGGAATAACACGTCCAGACTTGAGAACGCTCCAGAGGAACTCGTTTACGTCCTTCTCGGTGAACTTCTCACCAACGACCTTCTGCATGTCAAGGATGAACCGCAGCACCTCTTGCGCAGCCAAACCGTGCAGGGGTCCTGCGAGTCCTTGAAGACCAGCACTGTAGCTCAGGAAAGGATCGCTGAGCGCAGATCCGACCAAGTGTGTTGCGTGCGCCGAGACGTTGCCACCCTCGTGGTCACCGTGTAGAGCGAGGTACAACCGGAGAAGGTCTTGGAAGCCCTCGTTCTCCTTGCCTGGCTTGCCCAACATGGCAGCAAAGTTGTACGACCAATCCTGGTTCAGGTCAATCTCGTTCGGGAGAGCGCCTCCGCCACGGTATGCGTTCTGGTAGATCTTCGCAGCAATGGTAGGCAGTTTGGCGAGCAGGCTGATGCAGTCGTCAAAGGTAGGCTCCCAGTAGTCGGCTTTGTTGATACCCTTCTCGTAGGCTTTCGCGAACTTGGACTCGTAGTTCAATGCTGAGACGGCGCATGCGAACTGTGTCATCGGGTGGAGATCTTTGGGGAAGTCGTCCAGCATCTTCTGAACGAACTTGGGGATCTGGCCCTTCTCGGCGAGCTCCCGCGAGAGTGCGCGAGTTTGTGATACTGATGGCACTTCGCCTGTGAGGAGCAACCAGAACATGGCCTCAGGAAGCATCTCGGTGCCGGAAGTGCCCTTGGGCAGCTCCTTTTGGCAGTCCTTGATAGTCTTGCCGTGGAATCGAATGCCCTCGTTCGCATCGAGGACTGAGCCTTCCCAAACCATGGCCTTAAGACCCCTTCATACTGTCAGAGCACGCTTCTAGGTATCATCCGGGCTCATACCTCATGCCACCGAGCGCATTCTCAACCTTGACATCGCCGAGCTTCTTGTTGGCGTGTGCCTTGACCTTCTTCAGGAGCTCGCGCTTCGCAGGCAGAACCTTTTTGAATGTCTCCTTGAGATCCGGCTCTGAGGAGGAAGAGTAGCTACATGCTTGCACTGCAGCGATCAACGCGTTAGGACGATGACGGTTGAAGTGGGGAACCCAATGGCATACCAGAAACAAAAGGACGCGCCTGTAAAGCGTTTGTCAGCTCTCAATGTCTTGTATATGCTGTCGCATAGCTTTTGAAGCTCACCTTGGCGGCTCGTAGAGCTCGGGAAGCTGATCGTGCACTCAATGCCATAGCTAGCTTTACGTGGGGTAGATGCGGGGGGATGGGAGTATCACTCTTCAACACACGGAATGCAGAACACAAGAACACGATGATAGCGTTACAAACTTCACGAGCAACTAGCAGAGGAATGTTGACGGCAACTCTCGGTAATGCAGCTACGATGCGCCAGGCACGCGTGGTCCGTTGATGCGAGTGCAGCGTCGAATGATGGACCGAGGGGCAGCTGGACGGCTAGACGTGGGCTACATACCTCGGTAGTGACGTCGGCCACGCGCATCCCTGGAGAAACGTTACCGCAAACACGACGCCGGACGCACTTTTTCAAGCGACCCATCGCTATCTGCCTGCGCGAAGTAGAATTGGGTCAAAATTAAAAAAGGCGTCTGTGGCGAATGTCGTCACCTGATCCCCTGCGATTTACGGATACTTTTCCGTGCCTGATTACCAACTGACTCCACGCCGCCAGCCTACTAAGGTATACAGAGAGATTCTGCTGGCTGGAGTCTCATCCACACATACACCTCCACGATGCTACGCACAGTATCGCGCTCCATCGCGCGCCAGAGCCGACCGTCGAGGATAGCGAGCCGAACACCCCAACTCCTACGCCCACTCTCCACCACGGCAATTCGCATGTCGAGCTCGACGCTCAAGAATGTAGACCCTCCCGTATCGTCAGCGCTCCCTGGCGATTCCTTCCAGCTGCTCCCTGAAGCTTCGAAAGCGGGCCAGGCGGAGGATGCGCTCTTCGAGGAGCAGGTACAAGCCGTCAAGGACTGGTGGTCGTCACCGCGGTATAAGGGCATCAAGCGCCCCTACTCTGCGGAGGATGTCGTGAGCAAGCGGGGGGCGCTCCAGCAGTCATACCCCAGCTCGCTAATGGCACGGAAGCTGTTCAACCTTCTCGAAGAGAGGGCAGCCAAGGGCGAGCCCGTACACACCAGTGCGTTTATCCTAGCCTGCATAGATAGTACAATGGCTGATCATGTGTTTTCAAACTCCAGTGGGCGCAATTGACCCCATTCAAATGTCCCAACAAGCTGCGAACCAAGAAGTCCTCTACGTTTCCGGATGGGCGTGCTCCTCCGTCTTGACCTCCACGAACGAAGTCTCCGCCGATTTTGGCGACTACCCATATAATACCGTACCGAACCAAGTCCAGCGGCTGTTCAAGGCTCAGCAATTACACGACCGCAAGAACTGGGATGCAAGGAGGAAGATGAGTGCAGAGGAGAGGGCAAAGACACCTTACTTGGACTACATGAGGCCAATCATTGCTGATGGTGACACTGGGTACGTTTCCACGATCGGAAAAGCAAGTTAACAAGGATCTAACGTGTAACAGTCACGGAGGTCTCTCTGCAGTCATCAAGCTGGCGAAGCTGTTCGCTGAGAACGGAGCCGCAGGTGTTCACTTCGAAGATCAACTCCACGGCGGAAAGAAATGCGGACATCTTGCAGGCAAGGTTCTCGTACCAGTCGGCGACCACATCAACCGCCTGGTAGCCGCACGATTCCAATGGGATATGATGGGCTGCGAGAACCTTGTCATTGCGCGCACTGATTCGGAGAGCGGCAAACTCATCTCCAGTGCGGTCGATGTGCGAGATCACGAGTTCATCAAGGGCGTCACAGAAGACTCCGAGCCCCTGGCCGAAACACTGCAGAACATGGAGGCAGCTGGCGCACCAGGCAAGGAAATCGACCAATACGAGGCAGCGTGGGTGAAGAAACACAAGCTCGTAACCTTCGATGAGGCCGTGGTCCAGCACCTCGAGAAAGAGAGTGCATCTCAGTCAACCATCGATTCATACCTCAACGAGACCAAGCAGAACCCGGACTACTCTCTTCTCAAGCGCCGGAAAGTCGCAGAGAAGTACACCAAAACACCTGTGTACTTCAACTGGGACATCCCTCGTACACGTGAGGGCTTCTACCACTACCAAGCCGGCGTCGCTGCCGCTACGAAGCGCGGTAAGGAATATGCTCCATACGCAGATCTTCTCTGGGTCGAGACCGGCGACCCAAACGTGCAAGAAGCAGCCAGGTTCGCCGGCGAGATCCGTGCGGTTCACCCTGACAAGAAGTTCGTATACAACCTCTCTCCCAGCTTCAACTGGATGGGTCAAGGGTTCTCCGAAGAAGCGCTCAAGTCGTTTGTCTGGGATCTGGCGAAGCACGGATTCGTCTTCCAGCTCATCTCGCTTGCCGGAGTACACTCTACTGCTACGATTACCTGCGAATTAAGCAGGGCGTTCAAGGACGAAGGTATGCTTGCGTACGTCAAGCTGGTACAAGCAAGGGAGAAGGAGCTGGGTTGCGATGTGCTCACACACCAGAAGTGGTCTGGCGCAGGCTACATTGATGGCATTTTGGGAGCGATCCAGAGTGGCAGCTCGGGCAGCAAGAGTATGGGCGAGGGAAACACCGAGACGGGTTTCTAGAAATGTAAATATAAGAGAGCAGATCAAGAGGTGATTCGAGTGTTCAAAAGATGCCGATGCTCAATGCGTGACTAAAAAGGAAAGGCGGGATCTGGGGCTCTTGCCTCGGTCCAGCCATCTTTCCTGGGCGACCCATCATCACGCTCAATACCGCCCCTGCCTTCATCTCGCGTCCATAACATCTCATACCATTTCAAAGCGATTCCGCAATTTACATAACATGGCCAACAAGCCCGCGATACCCGAATGGCAACGTGCCTCCGCCGGTAACGCTGCAGCGTCATCGGAGCCCGAAGAAGCACGCGCGCAACACGCTGTCGAAGCCCCGACACCAACCGAAGACGACGTCGAGAAAGATGATAAGGAAGAGCAACCATCAGAAAGCTCGGAACTACTAGATCAAGCGTCGCGCTTCCTCGAAGATGACACAATCCGCGATGCGCCGCGAGAGAAGAAGGTCGCGTTCCTGCAGTCAAAGGGTGTGCGCCCTGAGGACATCGAGACTCTGCTAGGCCAAGAGCCACAAGAGAGCACACATACAGAGCTCGAAGCAGTGGGAGAACGGGCGTGGTCAGAAGTGAGTGCAGAAACCCTACTGGTGAAGCGCATGAAGCCCAGGCCATCGACGGTATCATAGAAGAAACACACTGACGCGTATAGACACCGCCAAAGCCGACCGAGGCACCCGAAGTCACATCTCAGCCTCGCGAAGTCATCATTCAGCCCCGCGAAATACCCCCGATCGTCACCTACCCAGAGTTCCTTGCGAACACCGAAAAGCCACCACCACTCATAACCACCCAGCGCCTCGTAACAACCGCATATGTAACGGGAGGCTTGATGGCGAGCATATACGGGCTTTCAAGGTGGATCATTGCGCCCATGACACACACCCTCGCCGAATCAAGACAAGACTTTGCATCGCATACGCACGAACAGTTGAAGGAGCTGAACTCAAGACTGGAGAAGGCAGTATCCGTGGATCCTGCTAGCAAAGTAAAGGCGGTTACAGATGCTGCAGATGATGTCTCAGAGGCAGACTCAGATCCTACCGAGCTTTACCATCGCGACTACGGCACCCAAACCACTCCCAACCTCTCCCGCCGACCATCTACCTCTACAGACCCACACCCCACCGTAACAGCGCACGAAAACCGCCTCAAGATCATAAAATCACATCTTGAAGAGCTCGACACGAACCGTACCAACGACGGCAAATCAAGGGATGGATTGCGGACGAAGGTGTCAGATTTGACTTCATATCTGACCGAGATGGACTATCAAAACCAATACTACCCTGGCATGGGCCGCTATGGAGCGACCTATAACTGGTCTGGTCAGAGTGGCACAGCACAGAATGATCAGATTGAGGTGCTGAAGAACGACATCAGGGCTGTCAAAGGCGTATTCTTGAGTGCGAGGAACTTTCCAGTGGGAGGTAGGAATGCGCCGCCGATACCTACCGGTAGAGTAGGTTCGTAAGATGGTAATTGCATCGGAAATTTGTGGATAATGAACGTTATATGTGAGTGTGTATCAGATTTACGATGTTGCTGCGCATGAGCGTTTATGCTCTTCTCTATCAGGTGATGTTTACATAGGTCATCTAGAGCAGCCTGTAATGCAAGGGAACTCTAGTTCAGACAGCGGAACTCCGGCTGATCTTCGACGTTACCTAGGTAGTATGACACTGGACCGTTCGCAGCTCCTGCCCCACTATACGTCATACTCAAGCAGCGACACCTTACCCTGCTGAGTTCATGTGGGTGTACCACTGCACAACCACAACACCAACTTCCAAGCCTGGTTTCCCACAAACATGTCGGGTTGGGCGTCTAAGTTGACCTCCTTGGGTCATTCCAAGTCTGAGGACAAGGACGAAACATCGCTCACCACGCTTCTCGACGCAGACCAATGCGCGGATCTGACCTTCTTGATTGCAACTATCACAGCATCTATGCGACAGTCCCTGGTCGATACCTATACCGCCGAGGAATTTCCAATCGACCCAAAGACCGCCAAATCAGAGGAAGAAATACTGCAAGACGCGCCCTCCAACCTCGACGATGTCGATGTTGCCAAGGAAGACAAGATCAAGAAAGAGAGGCAAGCACGTGAAGAAGATGCGAGGAAAGAGCTCGCACAGCCTGAAGTGCAAGAGCTGAAGCAGGAGATGTTGAAGTACTTTGATGGTTGGCGAGGTAGCGTCATCAGCAGAATCGGCGAGGTAGTCAACTCGAAAGAAAAGGCCAAAGAGCAGACACGTCAGGTCGAAGGCAAGGAAGTCAAACAAATCACGAAGAAATCTGAGACTGGTCTGAAGAGCATCAAGAAGCTCGACGAGAAGGATGAAGACGAGGACAAAATGTTCAACGAACTGTATCCACCTGTTCCCAACGCCCTCACTCAGTTAGAGGAGAGCAAGCGAGCACTCATACTACATTCGCTAGTGCTTATACTTCTGAGTCTGGAGCACTACTCGGCACATTCTCGCGTCCTGAATCTCTACCTCACAAGTTCTCTCGGGCTGAGTAGAGCCGTCCTGAAGAAAGACGAGGAGACTGTTGCTCAGGGTCTTTTGGAGGCAGCATCTCAGCAACTGAATGCTGATGCCGAGACGAAGGAAGCGGCCGAAAAATCGCAGAATGCTCGTAAATGGAAGGTTGGCCTTGCTGGTGTTGCTGGTGCCGCGTTGATCGGTGTCACTGGTGGGCTTGCTGCACCGCTCCTTGCCGCGGGCGTTGGAAGTGTCATGGGTGGGATCGGTCTGGGTGCTACCGCAGCTGCAGGATATCTGGGTACCCTTGCTGGTTCTTCCGTTCTTGTGGGCGGGCTGTTCGGTGCATACGGTGCGAAGATGACTGGACGAGCCATGGACGACTACGCCCGACAAGTCGAGGACTTCGCGTTCATTCCCATTCATCGTAATCAGGATCCGAGGAAACAGGACAACGAGTCTCGTCGCCTACGTGTCGCGATCGCCGTCTCTGGTTGGCTCCGCGACCCTGAAGAGGTGTCAAAGCCATGGAGATACATTAGTACAGGGACAGAAGGCTTCGCACTTCGTTGGGAGCTTGAAGCCCTTCTCAAGCTCGGACACAGTCTCGAGACATTCGTGACTAGTGCTGCTTGGGGTTACGCAAAGAAGAAGATCATTGAGCAGACTGTCTTCGCTGCGATGACGGCTGCAATGTGGCCACTGGGCTTGCTGAAGATTGCGACTTTGCTGGACAACCCGTTTTCGAAAGCCAAATATCGCGCCGAGAAGGCTGGTGAGGTCCTCGCAGATGCACTGATCAATAAAGTCCAAGGCGAACGACCGGTCACTCTTGTTGGCTACTCTCTCGGCGCACGTCTGATCTTTTCCTGCCTTGAGAAGCTGGCTGAGCGCAAGGCTTTTGGACTTGTCGAGAACGTCGTCCTCGTCGGCGCTCCATGCCCTTCCGACGTTGCCGATTGGCGGCGTATTCGTTCTGTAGTGAGTGGCCGTTGTGTCAACGTCTTCTCCAAGTCCGACTACATCCTTGGCTTCCTCTACCGCACATCCTCTATGCAACTTGGCGTCGCGGGTCTGCAGCCCGTCGTCGGCGTACATGGCGTTCAGAACGTTGACGTCAGCGACATCGTGGACGGTCACCTCCAATACCGCTTCATCACAGGTTCGATACTTCGCAAGATCGGCTTCGAAGACGTCGACATCGAAGAAGTCGAGCGTGCAGAGGCAGATCTAGCAAAGGAGAAGAAAAAGCAAGAGGAGGAGAGGGCGAAGAATGAAGGTAGGAAGGGGGAAGATAACGAGGAGAAAGAGAAAGAGGAGCTGGAGCAGGCTGTCGAGAAGAAGCAAGAGCAAAGCTGGATGCAGGTCACGCAGCAAAAGATGAAGGGTTTGGACATCGGTGGATTCGTCAAGGGTCTACCGGGAAAGGTGGCTCCAGAGTATGGAGCGGAGAAGACGGCGAAGAAGCATACGGGAGATTTCAAGGATACGAAGTAGTGCTCTTAGAGTGATGCAAGGTTTGCAAAGGGCTTTCGAATCAAGGGTTTTGTACATTAGCTAGGAAAATTGCGGATCATTAGATCTCATTCAATGAAGGCTCTATGTTTGAAGAACAAGTCACCAAAGTTGATGTTTTGTTTCGTAGCATACAAAATGAGCTGCAAAATCCAGTCCATCATTGTAATTGCATGTGCTCCATTCGTTCATGTGAAAGCTTTCCCCAGCTTAAGTCCCAATGCGGTTAGTCGATTTGTGGGGAAGCCGAGGCATTCGTTCACATGTCGCAGGTGAGGCTTGCACAGCGACACCTTCTGCGACGTGCTGATCTAACAAACACCACAGCCGGCGCGCGCCATATTGCACTCTGGAAGCCTGTCGCAACGGCACATGTGACCAGCTAAACTACGAGACTACGCGTTCCACACCACTGCGTATGTACTGAGCACCACAACCCGCTACGCCACGCTCTCCGCACAGTGTCAACCTTTCGCACAAGACCAATGCCTCGTCCACGATAGCCATGGCTGTCTTTTCGAAACCGCTCTCTTCTCACCGCCTCACCAGCGCGTCTGCCAAAGCCATAGTCAACGACCTCACACGCCTGTACCTCCAGCATCGAACACGCATATCGCGCGCCGTCTACCTCACTCTCTTTGTCGCCCTTATAAACCGCATACGGAATGCCATCGCCGAGCAGAAGGCCGCTTCAATACGGCGTGCCTCCAAAACAGCGGACAAGACAACAGCAGGCGAGGGTGAAGCAACGGGGAGGAAGAAGGTAGAGCTGAATAGGGAGTTCTTCAAGAACCTGCTGAGGTTGCTGAAGATATGTATACCTGGGTGGAAAAGCAAAGAGTTCAGACTCTTGATCGGACACAGTGTGTTTTTGGTGTTGAGGACGATGATCAGTTTGTACGTCGCGGAGTTGGACGGAAGACTGGTTAGTGCGCTTGTCAGAGGGAAAGGGAGGGAGTTCCTCCTGGGACTGGTCTGGTGGATGGCGGTGGCCGTGCCAGCGACTTTCACGAACAGTATGGTATGTCACTTCCTATCCCACCACCAGAGAGCGAAACGGCGAGGCCGCAGTCGCCAACGGGGAACCGAAGACGTGCTAACAGACCCAGCTCTCGTACCACCAGTGCAAACTCTCCCTCCAATATCGCACGCGCCTCACGAATCATATCCACTCCAAATACCTCTCACAGATGACCTTCTACACGCTTTCCGCCCTTGACGATCGCATCGCAAACGCCGACCAACTCATAACTGTCGATGTATCCAAGTTCTCCAATTCGCTCGCCGAACTCTACTCAAATCTTGCGAAACCGGTACTAGACATCATAATCTACAACTACTCACTCTCGCGCAGTGTCGGTGGCGAAGGGCTGTTCTTCATGAGCTTGCTGGTTCAGATTTCGGCCAACGTCATGAGGGCGCTTACCCCACCCTTTGGCAAATACGTAGCGGATGAAGCAAGGTTAGAGGGCGAATTCAGGTTTCAGCACTCCAGGTTGATCGATTGGAGCGAGGAGGTGGCACTGTACGCAGGACATGAGGCAGAGAAGGACACCTTGGATAAGGGGTACTTCACGCTGATCAAGCATGTCAATCGCATACTGAGGAGGAGATTCTACCACGGAGTCATGGAGGACTTTGTTATAAAGTACTTTTGGGGTGCGCTGGGATTGCTGCTATGCAGTGTGCCAGTGTTCTTCAAGGTTCCAGGCACAGGCGGCATGACCATGGGAGACCGGACGGAAAGTGAGTACTCAAAATCCGCAGTGCTTGTTTTATTTGCGAGGAGGACGATTACTGACAAGTGTTACTACAACAGGCTTCGTCACCAACCGGCGAATGCTCCTCATGTCTAGCGACGCTTTCGGTCGCGTCATGTTCTCGTACAAGGAGATCACCGAACTCGCCGGCTACACTTCGCGTGTGTCAACCCTCCTCGACGTGATCGACGACATACAAGCTGGTCATTTCGAGAAGAAGCTCGTTTCTTCCGCCGACACCGAGGAGAACGCATCCGTTCTACGCGGTCGCGGCACCGTAACCGAAGGCACAGACATAGAGTTCATCGACGTGCCTATAGTATCTCCAAACGGCGATGTACTCGTGCGCAAGCTCTCCTTCAGCGTGAAGCCAGGAGACCATCTCCTTATCGTGGGACCCAACGGCTGCGGAAAAAGCAGTCTGTTCCGCATCCTAGGCGGCCTATGGCCCGTATACGGCGGCAAAGTACGGAAGCCACCATTCGAAGACATCTTCTACATCCCGCAACGTCCATACCTCTCGCGCGGAACGCTACGCCAACAGATTATATACCCAGACTCGCTACACGACATGCACTCCAAATCCATTACCGACAACGACATCCTTTCGATCCTCGAGACTCTGAACCTAGAATCTCTCATCGACCGCCCCGGCGGCTTCGACGCTGAAGCACAATGGGAAGACGTGCTTTCCGGTGGTCTCCAGCAACGCGTCGCCATGGCGCGGCTTTTCTACCATAAACCCCGGTACGCTATCCTGGACGAATGCACGAGCTCTGTTACACTAGAGGTAGAAAGGGTGATGTATGAGGAGGCGAAGAGACTGGGTATAACGCTCATGACAGTCAGTCATCGGAGAAGTCTTTGGAGGTATCATACTAGGATTTTGCAGTTTGACGGCCAAGGTGGATTCTATTTTGGAGGTTTGGATGCGGAGAGGAGGGCGGTACTTGAAGAGTAAGTTCGTTTCCATTTGGGGTGTTTGTGAGCTTTTTGGAGTATGCGAGAATGTGCGCTAACATTTTGGTAGTGAGAAGGAAGACATCGACCTGCAGCTCAGAGCTGTTCCGGACATTGAGCAAAGGATCAGGGAGTTGGAAGCTTCGCGGTAACGGATGTGGATGAAAGTGGTCGGACAAGTTTAATGGGCGCTGGCATGTGGTAGCCGCGGATCTATGCGTAGTTATATTATATCTTGCATGGAATGTATGAAATCGCGCACTGCAACGAGAGGGCATAGCCTCGTAAGCTCACCGCGTGATATGAAACAAGATAATGCATACACACAGCTAATGCTGATCAGGTACGGATGCATATATATGCAAATAATGCACGCATGGCGGTGGCATGCAGGATACTAAGGGCTTTGCATCTGCGATGTTGAGGCAGAAGGCGGCAGCAGTAGCTTGAGAGTGATGCAGCGCGCGCATCTAGAAGGCATCTTGCACATGTGGGCGCACGACGCGCATGAACACTCAGAGAAGACAGTAAACAGGTGGCGGTATGATCATAGCGGAACATCAAATATGAGAGGAACAACTCTCATAGACAGCATCATCATATACTACACATCGCAAGAGGCATGGCACGGAATGTACGCGGTAGCAAATCTCAGACGCGTCGAGGGGGGCGTGGTTGCGGATGTCCGGCAGGAAACTGCCTCAAGGCTTACCACATCTGTGTATGTGGTGGCTGGGAAAGAGCGCAGATGGCCTCATGGGCGTCATGTTAAAACGAAAGTCGCGGTTGAGCGCGCTCGAACGCGCTCAGATGGGCTAGCGTCGGGTGCTCCCGTGGGTCAGGGTCCATTAGCGCGAACAGCAGCTCATCCGAGACGCGTCCGAGGTTTAGCGCCTTGATCCGAGCCATCGCCGCGCCAAGCCAGCCCTCACGTAAAAGCCGGCCACCTCGCTCCTCCCTTCTCACCTGTACACCACACTTTCTGCAGCTGCCCCATGCCACTTTCCACAACCACAACACTCTCAAGCCGCTGCTACTGCATTGTTGCGTATCTGCTTCTTCTTCTGCTCTGCACTCTTCACACTTCAGCTGAGTCAATTGTTCGCAATTGCTCTCCCCCTCACGCGCAGCTGCTTCTCGACGCGTCGCGTCAGGTAACCACACTGCACTCAGTCACCACGCTGTCTGCCACTGCTTCTCTCCACACTCTCAGCATTGCTCCTGGGTAGTCTCCAGTAGCCATGACTACCCTCAATCTCAAGCTCGGCCAGACGGTCGAGACTTCTGGCGGTGTAGACGGCATCGTCCGCTACCTAGGCCCCATTCACGTCTCAGAGGGGCGATTTGTGGGAATAGAACTCCCAACTGCTGATGGCAAGAACGATGGTTCCGTACGCGGAGAGCGTTACTTCACTTGCGCACCTCTCCACGGGCTGTTCATCCGCGACACTAGCATTGTCAGCATCCTCTCTGAGGCAGCCCCCGCACCGGCTCCTCCTACTCCACGAGCGGTCTCCAAAACAAAGGCACCACCCACCACACCCAGAGCCCGCCCATCAAGCGTGGTTGCCCCTAAGCCTACAACCACTACAAGGACAACCACATTGAGCAAGCGGCAGTCAGTCGCAGCTCCCTCGGCATCACAACCGCCTTCGCGTGGCCCAGTCCGCAAGGCCAGCGTGGCGAGCACGTCAAGCAACTCTGCCGCTGAATCATCTCGCGCCCCATTCTCTCGACCCGAATCCTCCCGCCCAGAACCTTCTCGTCCCGAACCCTCTCGTCCTACACCATCAACCTCAAGACCGAGTCTTGCATCTTCAGTCACAAGCAATGCTGGCAAAGCAAGTCGGGATAACAACGTCGACAATCTGCACACCAAGATCAGGCATCTCGAGAAGCAACACGCGGAAGACCAAGAGCGCCTGAGAGAGTATGCTCAGGTTCGCGACGAGAAAGAGCGCTACAGCGGCATCATCCAGCGGCTTCAGAACAAGTGTCAAGCTCAATATACCGAGATTCAGGAATTAAAAGACCGTGTCAACACACTTCAATTGGAACAACAGGCTCTCAACAGATCACACCAGGACCACGAGGTGGACTTGGAGGATGCCTTGGTGGACAAGGAGATGGCCGAGGAGAGGGCGGATCAAGCCGAGGCAGAGATCGGGTCGTTGCGCAAGCGCCTGGAAGAGCAGACGCTGGAGCTGGACATTCTTCGCGATGAGGCCGACCTCTTCACAACAGAAATGTCAGAGGATCAGA